GGCGGTGCGCGTGTTCAAAACACTTCCCAGCAAAATCGGTGGGATTCGCTGGCATTTGTCCGGCTGTTGGTGGCCAGCTAGCTTCTGTCAAACAACAAATAGCACCGTCCTCCGGAAGAGGGGCAGAGTGAAGTTGGCCCGTTTTTTCCATTATTCGCCCGGCTCTAGTTCACAGGCGCTGGCGTTCCCCCGCTGGCCTCTTCACCCAAGTGTGTTGAGTGAAGAAAGCTTCTTCTATTCTGCTTTAAAACTGTGGGTAAACAGCAGCAAATGGGGTGAAGAATGGGCTCGGCCTTAAGTAGGTTGTTTTTCATGTAGTTCTGCGGAGGTAAATGGGGAGACATGTGGAGTTGTCTGTGTTTCGCCCTGACACCGTGGCACGCCGTATACGCAGTGCAAATAAAATTTAGAAAACAACTGCTGCCTGGGACGGCGCACGAAGTGGTGGCTGCGAACCTGTTATTTCTTGCCAGCCTGAAAGGACTGGTGTGGGATGCTGATGGAAAGCCTTTATTATTTATCGGCTTTAGGTAGTAAGACATTTTTGCGCAGCAGCTAAATACATTTACATTTAAGGAATTTTTAAAAAATATTCACCTATTGGCTTATCTTGACAGATTTACAGCGGTGCAAAGTGTAGAGGAGTTACTGTGTTCATCCATTTACACTGTAAACTAATCTTGTCCCTGCATGTTGCTGCTTTTTCTTCTTTTTAAGTGGTAGTCACAGTGTTTTGTAGCACTTTGTTTTCTTAGCAATGTACAGTTTTACTATGTTAATCCGTATTTGGTTTATCTAATGACTAGCTGCCCAAAGAGCTTAAAAATAATGGATCTAATGGCACATACGTGTACTGATAGCTGGCTGATCGTAGCGGGTGGGTTTGGAAGTATTTTTAGCAGGAAAGGAGAACAAAAAAGAAATGGCTCTTTCAGATGGATTCAGAGCAGCCATTTGTCAAGACGCTCCTTATTTAAATATTTAACAAATAATTAGCTTACAGTTTAAACAAAAATCCATTTGTAAATCCTGGCGAACGTGAAGGAAAAGATACTTGGAAAAGACCGTCCGGAAGCCGCCCAGCGCTGAAACAAGCTCGTCGCTTGTATTGTTCTCGCCAAGCGGTAACCTGCAAACATGCTTGTAATTCTTGAGCATCCGAGATGAAAATTGGCTCAAGTCGTTACTGAATAACCGTCATGAAGATAATATTTGAATACGTGTGATTAACTGCAGGAGAAAAGAAAGGGGGGGGGCGGCTTGTCGTTAAAATCCTGGCTCGTTGGGACAAAATCGCCAAACTTTAGGCTGCGGGAGATGCCATAGCGCAGTACCAAAACTCAGCGGTGAGCAGACGTTACGCGTAGCGGAGGGGTGAATTTAGTGCCTTTGGGCTATGGCCGGCTCGGCGTTGGGACTGTCCCTCATCGTGGAGGAAGGTGCTGCTCGGTGTCAAGAGAGGAGGAGAACAGAGCAGGCGTCCTTCAGCGCTCGAGCCAGACAATGAAATTTGAAAAAATGGCCCTGAGACTCGATGTGGGAGAATTCCCCCGGATTCCTAAAGGAGGGATAAAACACGACTGTGTCCCTTTAACAAAACAAAAAAAAAAAAAAAAAAGGGGGGGGGGAAGAAAAGAAAGAGAGAAAAAGAAAAGAAAGAAAGAAAAAGAAAAGAAATTAGAGAAACCTTGCCAGAAATTCTCATCAGGGAATATCTAATAGTGAAGTATGGCGTTAAAAGGCTGTCTTTGTACTGTCTTTTGGCATAGAGACGGGGGTACGCGCTGCGTTCGTCTTAGTTTCTGGTTTTGCATTTTTCAAATCTCTCGCTCTGCGTTTGGCATGCACATGCTGCTTGTGGCTCTAGCCAGCCGTATTTGAAGACTGTTTCCAGAAGTCATTATTGCCCGCCCCGATAAAAAAGGTATAACGGTAATTACGCGCTAAAGAGAATAAATACGTTCTGCTAGGCTGTTAACCAGGTGAGGTTAAACAAGATGAGATGAATTCTGGTCTTTTTAGCAAACTGACAGTCTTGGTTTTAAGCTACAATGTAAAGTGCTTTATCCTGAGATTAGGTATTGTGGCAGAAGCTAAAACTGCCTTTTTCCCCTAACCGTGCCAGAATACAACCTCCTTTTCTTTTTGCGCTAACAAGACTGCTTTACCACCACAGCCCACTCTAAGTAATTAAATCAATCCTTTGTACTTACCGTATTCTCCTCTAGTGACGGTACTAGATCTGATTATATGCTTCATGCATATTCAAAGTACGGCACTGACAGCTCTTTAATGAGCTCTTACTTAATCAGCGCGAACAATGTTCATCTTGTTCTTTTTTTCCTCGTACATTAGAGCTAGGAACAGTTGGGGAAAAAAATGAAACATCCAGCATTCATTTGAAAAATATATTGTACTTTGAAAAGTGTCTAAGCTGGGGAAGTTGCATTCTGCCCTTTAAAAGTCTGATGGACAAATTGGATTACTAGTATTGGATTAAATAACAAATGGTTAGAGGAGAAATGAGAAAAGCTCGCTGTGATCACAGGCTTTAATATTTTTTGTTACTTATAAAGCTGAAGGGGTCTTTAACCAGTTATTAAAGTCAGGATTAATTTGTAATGGTCCAACTTACTAGCTTTAAAAGGGTTTTGTTGTTGTTGTTGTTGTTGTTGTTGTTTTATCTAAAACAATAGTGTAATGCGTGTATTCTGGGAAAAAAACTTAAGTTTAAGGTCTGTGGGCTATTTATAGATTTTCAGCATCTTGTACTGGCTCAGATAAGGGGTTGGCACGCATGGTATCGATCTGTTCTCCAGCATGTTTTTCACTTCATTTAAATAATCTGTATAGGGTTGGTTTTTTTTCCAGAGAACAGCACAGATATTTTCCCCATTTTCATTTTCAAACATTGGTAGCAAGTAAACGAAGTTACTTGTCTTACGCTTGGAGGATGGAAACATGAACAGCCCGAGCAGCAGAACGGTGTTACTGAGTGCCAGTGTCAAGTGGCGCTGCAGAAAAGCCATTTTTAGCTTTTTATTTAGTAGTTGTCCGTGTGAGCTTAGCTTGCAGTCTTGCTGCTGTAATAACACGCAGTTTTTCTCTGCGGAAGGTGTTTGGCATGCGTCCTTCCGCCAGAGGAGGGAAAAATGCAGTAAATTATTAGCGAACGGCGCTGTGTTCTTTGAAAAGTATCATTTCAGAATTCCCTGTACGGCAGTTCATCTTTGCCTGCCCGCGCGAGAAGAACCGGTTTCGGCTATACGCGCAAGAATTTGAAAGCCTCGTGGTCGGCAAATAAAGCATCGCGATCCGCTGCTATTAATATTGCACACATGTGTCATTTCGCGGATCAAAAAGGCCTTCGCCAGGGTACAATTGGCCTTTTTCCAAACGGCAAGCTTTTTCTCAGCTTTTTCTTTTTACTCTTTCTTCTTTTGTTGCTGCCCGGGGATTTGTGCCTATCGCAGCCGATATCACATGACCGGTGTCAGGGCATCACATGGTCCAAAGTGAATACAAAAACAGCCACCCGAAAAGATGAAAAATCCTGTAAAACAATAAAGACTTTGTTAACTCGCTGGAAAACGACCTGGTCTATGCATCTTCCATATGCTTCAGCGTCAGCATAGAAATATTAAAATAGGCACCTGTTAGGCTCTGAGTAGGCCAGCTTTACCCAGCCCTTTGTTCAGTGAACGCTGCGACTGACTTTATTTTACTTGTCGGAGGGGTGCGGTAAGAGAAAGTAGTAGCTTCAGTTCGGGCTCTTCCCGTCCTACAATGAGCGGTGCGGCTCCTCAGCTGGTACGACCGAGCGCGGCTGCTTTGAAACCCGTCTGGGTTTAACGGCTTCCAAAATCGAACGCCGTCCCCGCTTGCCTTTGTAATGCCACCTTTTATCCGCAGGTCCCAGGCCCCCTCGCCAACACCGCGCTTAGCGCCGTAAGTGGATTAAAGCGTTGGCCCGGCCCCGGCTGTGTAGCTGTGAGAACTTTTCTTCACCTGCAGCCTGGCAAGCTCGCGTATCCCCGAGAAAACTGGCTTTTTGCAAGGATGAAAAAAGGCAACGCTTCCCATCTCCCGCGGGGCTGCAGCGGGGAAGAGCGAACCGAGAGGGCCGTCGCCCTTCCCGCGCGGGCGGAAACTGGCAACTTGGAGCAGAGCAACGTCTTCTGTCGGTTTCTTTCCAGCTTCTGGCGTTGGAAACTGCTTCTCCGCAGGTTGCGATCCTGTGGTTAAAGCGAGCAGTACAGCTTCCCCGAGTACGCGGTACCTTGCATCAGAGATTTCCAAACATCAAAGAATTAACTTTGAGTACCCTTGCGAGATAGGTACAGATGATTATCCCCGTATTACACGCAAGATGCTTAAGTACAGAGCTCTGCCCTTGGTCTCCCAGGAATCGCGTCAGAGCTGGGAGAAGCACTCGGCGATCCTGGCTCGGGCTCTTTTGCCACTGTTCAGGTTTCTTCCCGGATGAACCTGAACCCTAGGAAACACGTGAGGTTGGTAATTCAAGGAGGACCATATGGTCTGCGCTCCTCGGCTCAACCTGAGCGCCGAGAGAGGCAGGTCCGC